GTGCCTGGAAGAACAGTCCCTCTCCCAGCTCCCCCAGCGTTCCCTCCATTAAAGCCGCCCGCCCTCTTCTCCTAAGACCCCCCTGGGCTTGGGACAGAGCGGAAGAGGCAGCGCCACAAAGGCGTGCGGCCGCTCCGCAGCAGCGCTTGAGAGGCTGTTCCTGCCCCACAGTGGCTCACGTGGGAGCGGGGCTACTTGGGGCAGGCAAGCACTTCTCTGCACCGCGCCTCCCGGCAATGCTGTACCTTTAGCAGACGGCGCTCAAACTCGGCAGTGTCCGGGAAGCTCTCATTTCTCCCTGCACAGCAATAGGAAGACAAAGACCCTTACTTGGGATCAAGGCACAGAAGAAGAGCTGCTGCAAACCTGGCTTGGCCTGGGCACTTGACACAGCCAAGCTGGGACCTGCACCCCCTCCACAATGACCTGTCCCTCCCCACAAACACTGCCTCCACAGGAACATGGAACTAAGTGCTCCAAGGCTGCTGTCTGAGGGGACATGAAGGGCCCATCCACATCCTGGAATGGGCAGATCTCTGGTGGGATAGGTCCCTGGGCCTCAGTGCTGACTCCCAGGAATGGGAACAGCAGCAGAGCAAGAACTGGGCTGCAGGCAGTGCTTCCCCTCTGCCATGCTACAGAGCTGCATTTTCACTCCCCCCCTTCCCTTCCCTGCCTCTGCCTCTTCTTCCCCTCCAGTGCTTTACCTTCAAGACACTGCAGCAGCAGGGGGATCTCAGTAGCCCACATGGCCCCCACAGCCCTGTGGAACCTGCTGTGGAGGTTTTTCATCAGCAGTAAGGCAGCAGCTCGGAGTTTGCTGCCTGCAACAGGGCTGCCTGCCACCACCTGAGTGAGAGCAACACAAAGCAGGGTCACTTCTGCAGCAAGAGCAACGGCTTCCCCCCAGGATGGAAGCAGCTCGGCTCTGCTCTGGCAGGCAAGGAGCAGCCAACAGCTTTGCCCATGGCCATGCTGCTTCCTCCTGGGTGCTCATGGCACCGGCCTCTGGAACATCTACTCACCAGCAGTCGTGCCAGCAGTATCTGGGGCGTCAGCAGTGGGCCTGCAAAGAGAACAAAAGTGCTGAGTAAGACTCCAAGACACTGCGTGCCCAGCCACACGCACCTCCGCTGTCCCTTCTGGGTGCTACCACAGGTCAGCAGAGCTCACTGGGGGAGTTTTTGCTCCTACCTTGAAACATGGAGCTGACAAAATGGGGATCCAGGTGTTCTATCGGCCGTCCTGTCAGCTCCTCTCTCTCAGCCAGGGCACAGACACAGCGGGAGACTGGGATCAGCATGCCTGTGTACTGCGCTGGCACCACAAACAACAGCAGCCGCGGCCACAGGAGCTGTAGGGAACGAGGCAGTTGAGCAGGTCAGCATTCCTGCCTCTGCTCGGAGAGGAAGAGGACTCTGTGAATTTCCCTGAGTCCTGTGTGCTTCAGAGCACATTGGAGGAGAGACCTGGGGTCCTGGAATGGGACGAGGAACACGTGGTGCAAGGGCAGGGAGCAGCAGCAGGGCAGAGCGTGACTTACTTTGGACATCCCTCTCACAGAGACGTCCAGTGATCCCAGGATGTCCATGCACAGCTCCTGGAGAGCTCCTTCTTCCTGGGCTTCCCGGGCAGAAAGGTCTCCGGCTGCCTGCACAACAGTGGTGTTGAAACACTGGTTATGTTCAGTTCTCAGGAGCCTCCTGAGAGGCTCAGGTGTGGCCCCAGCGGTGCTTCTGTATAGCAGCCTCTGAGCAGCACGGGTCTTCCAAAGGAAGATGCTGCCCACTGTCCTTACCTTTCTATCTGTGGCACGGCTGAACTCCCTGAAGATGTGCCCCACCACATCCCAGGCTGAGCAGATCCGGGTGTTAGAACTCAGCAGATCCTTGATGAAATACAGAACAGCCGTCCTCACCTGCAAGGGGTCAATTATGGGTGTGATTTTCCTGGTCAGAAGGCAAAGGGAAGCCACCTGCTCATTGGGGCAGCCCTTTGGGCATGAGCAGAGACACCAAGAGCACTGGAGAGGCTTTAGCTACTGAGATGAGGGCCAGGCCTTAACACCAGGCTGTGCGCTTCCCATGCACAGCACAGGGACCTGCCTGCTCCACTCTGCCTGCTCTCCCCACAGGAGCCATCATGACTGTCTGGTCAATGCCCCAGCACCTCTCTAGTCACCCCAGCCCTGCCTGTGCTGGCAGCAGCATCACCACCCCGACAGCGCTTTCTTTTCCCAAACCAGCTCACCCGGATGCTGGGGTCGCTGCACAGACGCTGCACAGCCTCGACGACCTGGGGCAGCATCTCCGTCATCACGGGCTCTGCAAGAGATGCACAGAAGCATGAGCGGAGCCACAACGCAGATGGCAGAAGGGAGCCCTGGCAGTCCCAAGGCGTGGTACTGACCAACCCGTGGTACTGACCATCAGAGCGAGCCAGAGCACCCAGCAGACCCAGGGCTGCCACGCATCCAGGCTCCCAGTCATCGCCCAGCTGCGACTGCAGAAACAGGATGGTTTCCTCTGGGCAGATTCGGGCTGCAGGGAGGAAATCCCACGCTATGTTAGCAAGAACCTCACGCCCATTCCTGAGGTTTGTGAGAGAGGTTTTGGCCAGGGCAGCGCCAAGCATGGCCAAAGCTCCTCTCCTTACCCTGCAGCATGATGCAGTGGATCAGCTGTGCACGATCAGCCTCGCTGTGCTGCTTGCTGTCGTCATAGAGCTGTGGGAACAAGGTCCATTTGAGAAAATCACATCAGCACTGAGGACGGAAAGGACACTGTGCTGCCCGCTCTCGTCTCCCTGGGCACTCTCGGGAAGAGGACAGGCAGACAAAACCCAGCCCTCCCCACAGCATCCCCAAGAGTACATGCGTGGCTCTGGAACAGCCTTGAGCATGCAGGAGCTAAGGCTGAGCCGCCTTATTCAGGGGTCAGAGCTTTGCAGTCCTCCTGAGACTTAGCCAAGAGGGAAACTGCTGTGGGCGCAAGGATAGGCTCCCCTTACCTGGTAAAACACGGCACTGGTGACGTCCTGAAACTTGTCCCCTGGGATTACAGACTCAATGCCCCCTAAGGCCTCCAGGAAGATAGTGAGGCTCTGCAAGAGAGCAGGAGAGGAAGAAAGGGATGAAGCCACATCTAGCCACTCGGGAGTGGAGAAATTGTTTCCCAATTGTTTCTCTGCAGGGAGAAGCTCCTGCACAGGCGTTCTTGTTTATCGCCCACCTCCCAGCGGCACCAAGAGAGTCTCTCTGCTCTCAATCGAGCCGTGTTTGGGCATCATTTGCAGGCATTTCCCACCCAGCAGCCCACTTCTCCCCCATCAGATGCAACTGGCTGTGGTCCCCCCAGTTGTTAGCATAGAGCTCCTCAGGCACTCAGAGCCCCACAGTGATGGTGAAGCTTCCCATCCCCAGGAGATGAGCCCCAGTGATTCTTGGTTCCCTCCTGGCTCCTGTCTGGGTTGTTCCTTCTCTGACTGAAGAGCTCAGGAAGCCTCAGACCTCCCTTGAACACCCATTCCTTCTTTCTCCAAGGGCTCCCCACCTCCTCCCTGGCCCCTTGTGGCATTTGCACGGGCCCCACGTCTACCCTGAGCCCTGCACAACAACTCACCTTGGCCACCCTGCAGGTGTCTTGGATCTCCTGACACGGGTGAACGAGCCAGAGGAGCTGCTCCCAGACCTGCTCTTGGAGCCGCTCCTCTTGCAGGAGAACCTCCAACATGGCAGCCACAGCCCCAAGGACGGCCTGTTTGTCCTGGAGAGGATGGCAGAGGCCCGGCATCAAAGACTGAAGGCCTGCCCTTCCTACGCAGAGGGCTTTCCCTTCCCGTTCCCCGTCCCCACACCCCCACGCCCAGCAGGAGATGGGCTCACTCTGGAGGGCAGGCAGCTTTTCCCCATACCCTCATCCCCAGCTCTTTTTGCCACAGTGCTGTGACATGCAGCTGCTCCCTGGCACAGAGCCACTTCAGGGCCCTTTGCAGAGCCAGCCCACTCCCTCTCATCACCCCTCAGCTCTCAGCCCACTGGGCACAGACAGAGCTGCCGACATGGGTGGCCCTGCTGCCATCCTGGGCTGGGAATGCAGCAGTGCTCACCTTTTCCTCCTGGCAGTCTTGCCAGTTCCACACCACAGAGAAGAGCAGCTCGTGAAGGTTTTCATAGATCTGCTCTTTCTCCATGGCAGTCCAGGGGCATTGCATTCCTGAGGACAAGTAAGTCTTGACTCCATCCAGCCACTGTTTCAAAACTGAAAAAACAAAATAATTAAAAAAATAAATTATAATTATTATTTTTTTTATGAGAGTGAGAGAAAACGGAGTCTGTGAGAGTCTGCAGCAGGGCTGCTCTGGGGCCGGCACTCACCAGCACAAGCGATGCGCAGGATCTGGCCACTCTTCACCTGGCCCACCACACTGCGCAGGCCTGCCAGCATCAGCCACACAAAGGGGATGCACTGTGGAGCTGCAGAAAGGAAGGAGAGGGCCACAGTCAAAGCCCCGGCAGCAAGGTAGGTGGACAGCAGCCCTGCAGCCCCCAGCTCAATGCAGATCACACTCAGAGGGCAGAGACCCCTTTCCCGGTTGTTATAGATATCAGGAGGTTGAGGGTACTCTACCATAGGTGCTGAAGAGTTTGCTCAGGGTGTTGAGCACAAACTCCTTGGACATGTCCCCCGTGGCCTTCAGGTGGCTCTGGAGCTCAGCCATCACCAAGATGAAGTGTGTCCGAGCCAGAGCCACCAGGACATTGCTGGCAGCTGTCTTGACAGTGCTGGTCACGCCCTGGAAGAGAGTCACTGGTGACACACGGCCCAGGAGACTGCCTGAGGCCCTTGGAAGAGCTAAGCCACCACCATCTGCCAGCAGAACACCAGCGTGGGCAGGCGGTTGGTTCCCTTTGCCTTTGGGAGTGAGCCCTCACCTGGGCTGCCGTCAGGTCCCGGGACACCTCTGCCAGCAGCCGGTTCACCACTCCGCACAGCGGGCGGCTGCTGTCTTGGCACAGGGCGCTCTCCAGCTCACAGTACGCCTGCGCTCGGTCACCCTGGGGACAAGGATCAGTGACGCTCGCTTTGCCCGCTGCCACCCATCGCTCTGTGGATGTGCTGCCGGGCCTGGCACCCATGGCACCGTGGCCCTGGGCCAGGAGGGCAAGGGTTGCTGGTTGGATGTGCCCAACTCACCTCCTGATCTTGCAGGCGCTGAAGCAGTAAGGTCGCGGCGCAGGTAGGGACAGGGCTTGACACCCTCCTTCTCTCCCTGCGACGCGTACGCCTGGGCACGCAGCCCACACAAGCAAAGAGACCTGGAAGGAAAGAGCAGAGCAGCTGCTGCAGGTGTTGCTTGGAGCCAGGGCCGAGCATCCGGCCAGCTGTGGGAGGAACGCTCCTCCAGCTCCACAGCGCGAGGCTGCGTGTGGTTGGTGGGGCAGGGGAGGGAGCTTTCCCCTTGCTGGGGTGCTGGGGAAACCACGGTGAGCAGCTGCACTCGGCAGAGCAAGGACAGTGCTGCTGGCACGTCCTAAACAGACATTGGAGGCACACGTGTGCTCGGGCAGCATCGTGGTGTCCAGAGAGGTGGAGGGACTCACCTCGAAGGGCTCTCAGCCTCTCCATGATAGCAGGATGCCTCCAGATAGACACAAAGCTCTCTCTGGTTCCACTTCCTGCGGGTCCCACAAGCGGACTGAGCCACCGCTCCCACCCCTGACACAAGGGTGGATGAGGCAGCCACTGTGACACCACACTGCAGTGTCACCTCACAGAGAATGAATGACGCGCCCCGGGCTGTCAGGCAGGTCCCCAGGGCAACCCTGCAGGCCCTCAAACACAGCACGTTTGTGTGATGCAATCAGCTCTGGGGTTCCGGTTCCATGCTGACGCAGGGAATCACCTCAGCAGGTGATGGAGAGCCCCTGCCAGGGAGCAGCTGCTGGGCACCGTTGCCCGGCGTTGTCTTAGTGACTGGGGACTCCATGCCGGGAGGCACTGAGGCCCCCATCTGCTGCCCGACAACCTCTCCAGAGAGCTCTGCTGTCTACTGGGGGCACGTGTCAGAGATGTTAAGGAGACTCCACCACATCTGATCAAAAATGAATACATTAATACTAGAAAAAAAAACTTCTTTATGGTGAATGTAACAGAAGAGCGGAACGGGCTGCCCAGAGAGGTTGTGGGGTCTCCTTCTCTGGAGACATTCAGAACCTGCCTGGACACATCCGTGTGTGACCTAATCTAGGTGTTCCTGCTAAGGCAGGGGGATTGGACTGGATGATCTTTCAAGTTCCCTTCCAATCCCTGACATTTAGTGAAACACATCCCTCTCACAGAGACGTCCAGTGATCCCAGGATGTCCATGCACAGCTCCTGGAGAGCTCCTTCTTCCTGGATGGTGTCTTGTTCATGATGCTGCCACCTTGTTCAAAGCAGAGGTGGGAGGTTCCTTTTTCCCCCTTGTTTGTTAGTTTCTAAGCCTTTTGCACTATTTTCCAGCCATGAGTCAAGGCTGTTCAGGCAGTCTTCCCTCTTTGGTGTTTTTTGGACAATAAATATGGTTGTTAAAATGGAAGGTTAAATCACGAAAGAGGGATTGCCTGCGCTACTGAAAGCATTTGTGTTATTTGCTCAGATGCACCCCTGGGAGCTGAGATCTTGGAGAAAAATCTCATTTGATCCATAGGTGCTATACACTTGAAAATGTGGCCCCTCAGTGCTATCTTGGTAAATCTCCTTCAACGTGCTTGAATTGGATGCAGAATGTGCAGTCACCTTTCTTGATCAAAGGAGGGGTTTCCCTAAAGCTTACTCTTGAAATCCGCGGTTACGAGTTTGCTTCAGTCACCCATGCACTGTGCAACGGTCAGCAAAAAGTGTTCAGATTTAATGTCAACAGCTCTTGGTATAACACTCCTTCACAGCAAAGCTGAGCAATGAGAAGAAGAGGCAAAATCTGCTCAGTCGTGATGAGTCGTGTCTTGTCCTTTACCAGTTCAGCAGAGCACAAAATACCCATCTCTTCAATGAGGAAAGGGGGTAATGAAGCAGATGCAGGAGCAGGAAACCAAGCTGGAATGGGGACTTAAGACCAGGTGATAGTGCCCTTTGCAAATGAAACAATTCACTAGAAAGTGATTTCCACCTCTCTGTCCCCGAAATGTCCCTTGATTAAAATTGAAGGCACATTTTTCCCCTCCAAAATTAGTACATTGGTAACTGGGCAAGAGTTTATCTCCTGATTCCACAATGTCCTTCTCTCTTTCAAATTTGTATTTTTATTGCACCATTCCAAATACCTGGATCGCTACCGCTGCTGCAACATTAATAAAATGCTCTACAATATGAACAAATTACTGTGTTTTGAGTGCTATTAAAAAAAACAGCAACAAAAAAAAAACAAAAACAAAAACAACCAACACTGGCTGCTGACAGCTTTCCTGAGAGAAATGAGGATAATAGAAAGTGCCTAGAATGATTATGTCCTTCTGAGGTCTGATTGCATGGAAAGGTAGCAGAAGACCTGTTAAGTCCCCTGTAGGCTGACACTTGGGCAGCTGTCAGTGACATCAAGCTCCTTGTCCATCTCATCCTAGTTTGTGACTACAGCATGCTTATTTAGTTGCTCTTGAGCTGTATAAACTCAGTTTTTCCATCACACTGGCAAGCAGTTGGCATGCCTTGCCTTTTTCCTCCATCTTAAGACTAGACAATGAAGCCACAGAGCATACAATAGTGGTTATTTTCCTGTGGGGACACATTGTTTCTGGAGGAACTAGTGTTTTGTTTAAGAGTAGCTTTATTAAAGAAGAGAAGTTTGTGAGGATTAACCCCAATCTACTACCATTTCTTGGGACAGCATGTCTGGGGTCACACAATAGGGGAAGTGGAAGTAGGATTATTTTTCAACTATGATTTGCATGAGAAGATAACTTCTATCCCCTCCTCAAAGTACAAATCAGACAAAAGATCTACCTAGTTCATAACCTGATCTTCTGCAGTGGTCAGAAGCAGAATCTAAGAAAGGAATATGTTAAATTAAAAAAAAAGAAAAAAGCAATATGACCCTTGTCTGCTATACATTTTCAGTCTCCACCAGGCAGCCGTTGAGATTCAGTTTAATAAACTACCAATAGCCTCTTCCCAGTTTTACAATCCCACTTTTTTTTCAGTTGCCTTGATTTGTAACGGTGAGATATGCACACTAGGAAACCAGATTATTTATGTTGGTTTTCAAGTCTGCTGCCTGATTATTTCATGGTGTGCTTCCTGACTCTTGTAGTAAGAGAATAATGCTCCTTGCCCACCTTCCCCATGCCATCTGTGGTTATATCTGTTACCAGTATAGAGGAACGAAAGGATCATTGTCACTTCTTCGTCTGTAAGAGGTCCCCTGCTTCTTATCACCCTCTTCATCCTTTTCTCTGTCTTCTTTAGTTCCTTTCTACCCCTTTGGAAGAGACTGACCAGAACTGCATACAATAACCCTGTGTCCTCCATTTGGTTTCTGCACTGACATTGCTTTATTTTTTCCCCCAAAAATGTCCAACACAATATGCAAAGTATTCCACCATGCCTTAGCAATGTGTATGTCTCAGGCTGAGGCAAGTTAATCTTCTACTACTAGTGGATAAGTATTCTGCTCTCCAGTGCCCATTCACTCACTGGAGTTGTTCACAAAGTGGTTGTAGAGGAAGAAGTCACAAGTCTGTGATGTAAGCGCATACTCCCAGGAGATTTGACTTGTTCTGATAAATCACCAGTAGAGTGATTAGATGGAACTGATTCCACAAGTTACAATTCAGACTGACTTCAAAAGCTTGATTAAAAATATGTGAAAAGGATTTTTTCTCCATCCATAGCCCAGAGAATCTCCAAGATTTGCAGTTTTCAAGAGCAAAAAACCTCTGTCCTTTCTCAGGAAGCTGCTTGAAATTTCCTGACCCATTTTGAATGTAGCCTGGATTGAGATCAGTAAAACACTATGCATTAAGCACCTGCTTAACACGAAGAACTAGTAAGAAGGTTAAAAATGAGTAAGCCTACTCTTATTTAGGTCTTTATTCATTGCAGCAATTAAATACGTGCATTAGTGCTCTGCTGCATCAGGATCTAAGTACTTGCACACAATTAAACACTATGCTGAACTGAGTCCCAAAGCCAACATTGCTGTACAGGATTTTAACCTATATTTCTGTCTACTGTGCACTTTACTTTAATGCAGAGAATATTTATTACTTTAACAGATATTCTACCTTGAAGTGGGATTTACTCTATAACATATGTCACAGAGTGCTATTTTAATGATTCCAACTTGCGGAAATATTTTGTGATAGGAATAATTTATCTCTTGATTAACCACTTCAAGGCAGTTCTGAGCATTAGCGCATTTGCTGCTTTGGTGTCAAAACATTCTAAAGCTACATATACAATAAACTAATTCAGAGTTCCATGTTGTTTTATATATGTACATGTACATGATTTATTTATATGTATAGGGAAAAAATGCTTGCAAGAAGGGTAAAATGAGTTTTAAATCTTGTCTCATTGGAGTTGGAGCTATAAGATTGTATGACCATGAAGATCTACAACAATGCAAAGGCTTCAATTGACTACACAAATGCTGCTGTTCACACTGGTGCCTCCAGCTATCCCTGATTCCTTTTGGTTTTGCATTGTGAGCTTATTTAGCCAGGAATGCTTCTTTCAGCAGAGGCATCTGCAGCATATTGAATACTGGAGCATACTGTGATCCATTCTGCTTTCATCCAATAGAGCTGCTGGGGTGACTAAGATGCAAAGAAGTCCCAGGACTTGCCCAAGCCCACACAGTGAGTCAGTGGCCCAGCTGTTTTCAGAAAGAATAATTTTCCCATCTTTTTGCTCTAAAAATTTTACTGCATAGCATCCTATATGCACATTAGACTAAAGTTCACTGGCTTATTAGGATACAGTTTTGGGTTTTTTTTTTTCATCTTTACTGAGTAGATTTTGACAGAATTAATCAAATACCACTGGGACTCCAGCTGCCTGACCTGTACACGGAATTGTGATCTAACCCATCTAGGGTTGCTTGTTTGCAGTACCATCCCCTCCTCACTATCATTTCTTCCAGTAAGAGGCAGGAACACATATTCTGTCATTGGTTTTGTTTCCTCACTGACTTGGAATAATAGAATTGTTTGAGATGGAAGGGATCACTGAAGGCCATCTAGTCCAACTCCCCTGCAATGAACAGGGACACCCCCAGCTTTGTCAGGGTGCTCAGAGTCCTGTCCAGCCTCACCTTGAGTATCTCCAGGGATGGGGCACCCACTGCCTCTCTGGTCAATCTGTGCCAGTGCTTCACTACCCTAGTTGTAAAAATCTTTCTTCTATCCAATGTAAATCTCTCATCTTTTAGTTTGAAACCATTTTCCTTCATCATATCACCACAGACCGTGCTAAAGAATCTGATCCCTTCTTTCTTATAGCTCTCCTTTTGATACTGAAAGGCTGTTCTCGGGTCTCATCAACTTATCTATCCCAGAGACAGTAAGAAACAGAAGACATTTAAATTAGAATTTTCACTTGAATGATTCCAGTGAAGAAGCATTAGCTTACTCTTAGCTATTTGGTCATTGCTGGTTTTGGTTACTATGAGTGAACCCTGTCAATACCGGTAGTGTTGCTTGCCACACAAGCCGGCAGAAATGGACTCACACAATGTGCTTTGTCTCACATGGTATTTCACATTTCTAGGCTCTCAGTGGCTTCCATGGGAATATATGAATAAATCCAATAAAAAGAAATTATATTCCTTTTTACTCCCACTCTGTTCACCAGATGTGCAAGCTCACCCTGGGTTTCAGTTGCCAGCATGGCTTCCTTTTTTGGTTTATTGACTCCCTTCCCCCCTGCCAGTAATATGGGCTCCCTCAGGGCCAGATCCTGGGCTCACTTACAGGCCTACAGCCTGTGGTCCTCAGCTGGTGTTGCATTCGCCACAATGTGCAGGCATAGAGTGGGGAACACAGCCTTACCCATGGGACTTAGTCAGCAGTACACCAGTAGTGCACTAAGTGGACCAGAGGAAGTCACCCTTCCTGACAGTTGGGAGCACTTGGCATAGCAAGGAAAAATTAGCACCACTGAGATCATATACATTTTCATTAATCATTGTGAGCCTTAAATAAAAGCAGCACTGCTGGCAGCTCTGATTAAGAGCTTTCCATTGATCATAAAAGCTGAAAGCTAAAATGAATTGTTTAATGTTGAAGGATTGAGATAACAGCCAAATAATTTGATTTATTGCGAAACCAAGACATAAAAAAAAGAAAGAAAATATTTCAAAATAAAAAAGCTACAGTCTCTGTGGTAGGCACAGAGATAATTTGAGGCATGCCAAGTCTGCACCACAGTGTGGGGTTGTCACAACCCCCAAAACACAGTGCTGGAGTTGTGACAGAGCACAAGATGGGCACCTTACCCAGCACTAATGTGCAGGGAGAAGACTTGGTATGCCTCAGCTTTGCGCAACAATTCCATTCCTCTCTCTGTATACATATGCTTTCCAACACCTTCACTATAATAAAAATATAGAATTTGTATATATACACAAAGCAAGGAAATGGGTAGAAATAACATATATGTGAGAGAAATTAACCTTATCTGACCATTTTAGCCATGTGAAAGTAGAGCACCTGGGGTGGTTATTTATATTTAATATCCTCTATTGTTACTGGAAGGAGAGAAAGCAGCTCCTTAGCGATTTGAAGGCACTTGAATCACCTTCTGTAGGTATCTGTCTCTTTTCACTGTCTAGGGAGGGAAGCAGGGCTCTTAAGTTACACTGGACATGCATTTTTTCAATTAATGCTGCATACAGATACCCCTGCACAGGGTAATAGAAAGTGTGAACAAGAAACACCATATCTCATCTTTAGACCCTGCTGAGCTCCCAGAACTTGTTCAGACAAAGCAATCTCCCATTCTGGTATATACTGAAGGCACCCACAATGTTTACCAGGCATAAAAAGTGCTTGCAAATTTCCTTACCATACTCACAATAGTGGATAAAAACAGAGCCCCTATTCTGATCCCCATTCTGACTGTGTTCATGCTGCTCAGAAATGTGATTTTCTTTCAGAATGGCAGACTCTTTGGAAGGCTTTTGGCCATTCATCAGCAGCCCTGTAATCTCTGGGAATAAGGGAAAAGGGAGGAGGTGGACGAGTTGTTTGGTAGAAATGAGACATAATCCAGACTGCTTAACTACTGAAATGGCTGCTCTGGCTCTGTTCACAGCTAAGCATCTGTCAGGTTGCTCTGTTGTAGCCAGAGCTTACTCTCTGGCCAACCAAATGCAGGCTGGGAAGTGGAACTTTACCAGGGCTTAGGATAGAGCTTGCCTGTGAACTGTCTGAGCTGCGCAGAAAGAAATGCAAGTAGCCCAAAAACTCCCTTACCTGTCCATCAGAAGACAATATTTGCCTCTGGCTGTGTATCTGGAAGTGTGAGATCTAAATTCATGCACCAAGCATGAGGAAGTTTGTGTTCACCATGAGACACGGTCAGGATAAGCGTCCATAATGCCAGAGTCTTTAGTGCAGGAAGATCACCTGAAGTGTGTATGTGAGTAGCCTATCATTCTAACCTTCACTAGATTAGTTCTTTCAGAAGTTCTTTCAGTTTGCCTTTTTCAAAAGTGTTTCAAAGATATGTGGGCACATGTATCTGTCTGCTTGTGAGAATGTGTCTTAAAAAAAAGTGTATATACTACTGAAGTCTGCCACCCAAGTCATCCTCCCTGTCTACACCTGGTTTATTCTGGACTTCTCTTGCTTTAATTTGCCTTTTAATAGTTGCATTCTTTTTGCTTTTTCCATGTGCATGAGTGTGTCCCTGGATCTCACTGTCCTCTTGCATTGTCACAGAGTTGACCAGATCAATCTATGTCCGTGACAGGGGCGACAGGCCTCTGCCCTCCCCCCCTCCCACCCCAGTCCCACAAAAATGGGAAGGAAGGAAGGGAGGAAAAGAGCAGCGGCAACAATCTATGGAGGAAAACTTATTTTACTATAATATTGGAATACAAGATAACACAATATGTACAATTTAATTGAAATTGAGATTAATAAATCAGACAAGATAAGAGAGAGAGAGAGAGAGTTCTCGGGACCGAGTCAAACCTGAAAAGCTTGGAACGGCTAGGAAAGCACCTCCAGCACCCACTGCAAGGCAGCAAGAGAGCGCCCCCCCCACCCGGAAGGGCCAGATCCCGTGACTGCTGTAATGTACAGGGATAGGTACCTGGAATTGGGGCAGTGACACTTTAATGCCCCGTACACTACATGATGTTTTGATGTGGAATACTGAAACCCAAAAACAAGAAACAAAAACAAAAAAAACATAGAACCATGACAATTGTGATTGCTGAGAGTCAGAGCTGAATCTTTTCCTTCAAATAATTGTTTTCCAAACGCTGTCCCTTTAAACTTCCTGACATTGAACCACTCTCATGCCTTTGTTCTCCTTCCCCAGTAGACATTGACTCTTACAGCATAACTATGGTTATGGCTTTGCTTTTGTTTATGGCTCTTTGATATTTTAAAAGGTCTGAATCGCAGGCGAAGGAGAGTGGAGGAAAATCCTGCTTGGTGTTGGTCCCCTTGGTTTGGTGTCTGTGCCTCCTTGGGGCATCTCACTATGGATGGAGTTGCATTTGCTAGTAAAATAAGTGGATATTAAAACACTGTTTCTTCTACACTGATGTTTTCTCTTTATTTCTGCATTTGTTTTGAAGTTTATTCTGAATTCTAACATGATATGCCCATGTGGGTAGAGACATTACAGGCACTATCTGATTGCTGTGATTCCAATAAACAGTGAATGCCACTAATAGAGTCCCTAGCACGTTTTTGGAAGAGGAATATAGGTGGCATATGGCACAGAAGAATAATTTCATAGTAATAGGCAAAAGCCAGTTATTAGGGAGACACTACTTTGCAGCTAATGGTGTTATGGATAATGAGGGCGATGAGGGAAAATCTGTTCTGAGTGCTGGGAAACATCAGATCACCACACTCAGCAGAAACAATACCACCCTTTAAAACCACCGATCCCATGATAGACTTTGAGGGAAGGTGTCACAGCATTGAAACATGAGCTGCAGCACTGCACTGGGACTGGGTTGTGCTGCAGTTGGCGAGAGAGCTGGCTGGCAGCTTTACGACAAAGTTATGCCAACCTGGAAGGCAAGCACAACAAACCCCGCAAGAGGCACTGACACACAGCCATGGCCAAGAGTTGTGCTGCCATCACCACATGTTCACGAGCAGTAACATTTGGGATTCTGTGAAGAGCAATGATAGCTTGATTAGAAGCAAGAGGCTGAATTACTTTCTGGTTGTTTGGGGGGAGGCTTGTTGGTTTATTAGAAAGCAGTACAGGGAGGATTTTTTTATAGCCATTTAAAGAAGATCAGCAATTATAGGAGTGTTCATGGTTTATTCTTCTCCTCATACAACTTTGTGAGTGTATTGCTCTTTTGCCTTGCAGACAGGTCTTCATATCCCCTGAAGAGGATCCCACTTTGACAGAAAATGGAAAAGAGGAGATAAAAGAAGAAAGAGTGGGGGGGATGGGGAGGGGAGAAGGAAACAGAGAGAGAGGAGGGGAAAGGATAGAAGGGAGAAAGTGAGGAAGGAAGAAAGGTAAGGAAGAAAGGAAGAGAGAAAAATGGGAGCCAACTTCAGCTGAAAAAATCTACCATTTGTGACCTAGACAGAAAGGACTGACACTTGAGGATATGTTGATACTATTTTTTCTCTGTGCACATGATGGCCTATCTTCTCAAAAGTGAGGAATGATTTTGGGTGCCTCTGTCTCTAGCAACTGAAATGATCCAGCTGCACAGAGAGCTCCATGCTCAGTTACAATGATGAGTTACAATCATGCAGGTGTCCCACACATGACCATTGCTTGCCTCTGGACTCCTTGGTGCACAGAGGTGTGATGATGGACCTCCTCAGCAGCTGTGGTTGGTTCATTCCTTCCCATGGCCACTCACTAAGCAGCTACTGGTCTGAACCTCTGTTGCTGGTGACACACAGGTAGCTTCAGAGCCCTGGTGTATTAATTTTTACACTGCTTAATACCTTTCTACATGACATTCATCCACAGAGACTGAAATCAGTTATCTTCTGAACAGGAAAAGTTACAGAAATGAGAGAAGATGAGAAAAAAAATCATCTACCTGCACGGTACCTACTCCCCAGCTAGTGGCAGCATCTGCCCAAATCACCGAGGGCCACATGAAATTATTATCAATAACATTAATAATGACAGCATATCTTTTAGTGAAGAGCAGCATCACTCAAAAATTTCTTCAGAAGGCAAGGTTTCCAGATGCAAGAGTGACAATAGCCATGACACCCAGCACTGCTTGCCCTTTCTGCTCATATCCCATGCCTTTCTGGGCCTGCCAGTGAGCCCTGTTCATGCTGGATAGCTAAAATGTGACAGAGGATTTAGCTCACCTCTTCCAGAAAACGCAGGCCAGCCAGCAAGCGTCAGTAAACACCACTCAGAAAAAAACCTACCCCTTAGATATCCTCCATCTCCTCGTGATGGATGAGCTGCAGCTTGGGCAAAAGGTGAGGAGGCTGAGCCATAGCTGTACCTCATGAATCTCAGCAAAATGAGTGGTAAAACCTGTGAAATACGTTTCGTTTTTCATTCTGTTCTTTTTATTCTTGGTTTTGGGCTCCCTGCCTTGTGCCAGGGTGTGCAGCCCATGCCTAAGTGGCTATGGGCCACAAGGGCTGTGCTTTGACAGGGCCATGGAGAACAGCAGGGCTTAGCAGGGAAAAGAAGGGCCAATGTGGAGCTGAATTGTTCAAATGAATTCTGTACTTTTCCGAGTGTGACGTCAGGCTGCCTTTTCTTCTGAATTGCAGTAAAAATAAATACAGCTAGAATGTGGGCATGGTTTGGAAAGAGATTAAGGAGAAGTTTTAACATTGGTTTCACTGAAGTGGAAATGATTTCTGATAGCCAGCTGGAACCTGGTAGAGGCACTCGGTCTAAGCTGAGAGCTCGTGCAGCTGGAGTTTCATAATACAAAATTGCTAGTCTTTCATTTATTAGTTCAGAGCCAGATCCTAAAATCTTATTTATATGACTAGTCCCTCTGGGCCATATCCTTATTTCTCTTACACCAGACTGACTCAGGAACAAAAGAAGGGATGCCTATGAGGCAAACCTTCCTCATTAAAAGGTCCCTCCAGAATGGAAAAATAAAACACAGTTATAGTCATGTCCCCCAGCCTGCAGCTCGGAGGCATGGTCCAGTACAGAAATAAGCTACACACCAGGCAGCTTTCTTCAGCAGAACTAGCACGGCCCTCTAGAGTCCTCCATTAACTCCTTCTTCAAATAAGGGTTTAGTTGAAGTACCTGGTATTAATCATACAGGTCATAAATTTTGGGGGTCCAGTTTACCTTAAAACCTGCTCCCCCCTGTACACTAACCAACACAGCAGTTGTTACTATGGAAACATTCAGCACAGAGATGGTTGGCTCAATAGCCTGAGCCCTTCATTTGGACCTGAAGCCAGGTGCCTTGAATTCTTGGTAATTTGCTGTCTGACACTCATTCGGTGTGAATCAACTCTGCATTTTCTGGGACAAAATATAGGAAAAATGCCATAGGAAAAAAGGCTGTGTGGATCCAGACCATAACAGGTTTGACCTCGCTGCAGAGTCATCCAGTACTGGCACGAGGGAAGGCACCTTTCTGCCCTCTCACACTTATCACATGCCTTTGGAGCCAGGAAATAAAGCAGCAGTTCTAGAGGGCCACAACACAACCCTCTCATTGTTTTGTGTACTTCAGGCTACTCCAACCTCCCAGTAATACCAGTTACAATGATGGACAGGCCAATTTGTTGCATAATGTAGGGTCAGCTTCTTTGCTGCAGACAGATCCAACCCGGAACAGTACAGGCAAAAGATGCTGCCTGATGCTTATCTTGGAGACAGGATAGTGCAGTATCAACTTAACTACTAGGGCCTGTAGAAAGGATGCACCAGATGGGAGATGGGGCATGGGAGATCCTGCCAAGAGCATAATGGTGGGCAGAGTGTGGAAGTCATATCCACACCAGATATCAGTTTGGTACAGCAATGTCTAAGGTCACAGAGACCTATATTAGTTATCCATATGGCGGCACACAGGTTTGCCAGCTCAGATCCAGATGACGTCTGGGCCACTGAGCCCACTAGGAAGGATTTATTAACATGAGGACAGTGGGAAGGCTAGGCCTCCAACCTTGCTTCTAGAGCTAGGGGGAAGTTCTTCTTGGCCAGCATGAGTGCCCCCTTGCACATCTTTCCTGCCTATCTAAATCCCATGCCCATCTCCCACATAGCCTGGGGCTTCTTGAACCTAGTGGAGTAGTTTCTGATGTATTTTGACTCCCATGCCAGCACTTTCATCAGCAGCTTCTTGAAATGTCAGATGAAGAATGCAAAGGAGGGGGAGAAAAGGCAGGAGGAGGAAGATGAAGGAAATGGCCAAGGTCTTAGGCACACATGAAATGCTAGGATTCAAATGAAGTCAGCCTGCTATCTGACGCACGTTCATGCTGTACAAATACCCCAACAAACCAGAAAGCTGGGAAGAGATTCTGAGGCAAGAGCCTGCAGAATTGAGACAGTGGGGGCATGCCTTGCACATACCCAGAGCCAAGAGACTTCACAAATCAAGAAAGAAATTCTGTAGGAGAAACACTGTAGTGGGTGGAATCCATCAATTACTCTTGTTAGCACCTGCAAGCATGCTTTTTAACAAAGCAGGATTTTCTCACCCTGTGGAAATGCACTGCACATCCTGCCAGGCTAATTAAATAGCAGTCCCTCCCTCACCAATTTGGGTACTGCAGTGGGTGTGTGTGAGCTCAGCCTTTGCACACAAAGGACAACCATCCCCAGGTTGGTTTCCAACAGGGAAATGAAATCTTCCAGCAGCAGGAATCTGCTCTGTGCCTGATGCCAGGGCGAACTTGCTCTGCAGAGCAAGCCCCCACCCACCTCCCACTCAACCAGAGCAGCTGTGCAGGGCTCTGCCCCTGCTGAGCCTGCATCTGCCTGCTGAGGCTTCACGGGAGTGAGCAAGATTTGGCTCACCTTCCCAGCCCTGCCTAACCCACAGCCAAGTTACGG